TGTCAACCTATATTACTTTTAATAACATTTTTGTTAGCCGACACTACTCAACTTACCTTATTGGGAAATACAAAATGTGCATAAAAAATCATACATCCTTCCTCATTAACATTTGAAACCATACTGAAATATGAATTTGAAATTTTTTTTTATTTTTTCTTTCCTCCTACATTTCTTTCTTTTTCGTGCAATAGAATTTAAATGGGAAGCTTTTTAAAAAATGTGTATAATATCCTGAGATTTTTTAAAATATTAATCTCTTTTTTACGTAAAAAAAAAGAAAAAAATAATAAAAAATATGACACGATCAGTGGCATTTAAAGAAAAAACCAACAACGAGGCCAAAAATTCGTAACATTTCGTAAAAAAAATTGAGTATTGGGACTTGTTAGATATAAAGACATTACCTGAGATTTTTTTAAATATTAAACTCTTTTTTACTTAAAAAAAAAGAAAAAAATAATAAAAAATATGACACGATCAGTGGCCTTTAAAGAAAAAACCAGCAACAAAGCCAAAAATTCGTAATATTTCGTAAAAAAAATTGAGTATTGGGACTTGTTAGATATAAAGACATTGATTAAACTCTTTTTTACTTAAAAAAAAAGAAAAAAATAATAAAAAATATGACACGATCAGTGGCATTTAAAGAAAAAACCAGCAACGAAACCAAAAATTCATAATATTTCGTAAAAAAAATTGAGTATTGGGACTTGTTAGATATAAAGACATTATGTTAGATATAAAGACATTATGTTAGATATAAAGACATTACTATTCTCTTTATCTTTACTCTAATCACAAATAACTAAATAAATGGAACTGAAAATCGATAAATTATTTTTAAAAGTTATATTTTTATTTTTTTTTTATTTCCAAGTTGCAATTAATAAAATTTACGTTTTTATTTTCCAATTCAAACTAATATCTTTTATAATTGCATGATTTTTTCTTTCTTAAAAATACAGATGAAATAAATTTACGTTCACATAGAATTTTTTTTTCACATTATTTGCATAATTTAATTCTTTTCTATTCGTTTTTCGTGAGAGATATGCATGTATTAAAACAAAATACTCAGTAATAAATATCTGTACATATAACTGAGTATAAAAATCCATCTTTGTTAATTATAGTATGCTTTAAACAACATTTGACACCAAAATAAATATCACAACACTTTAATTTCTTATTATTTGACGTGTTTACATATAAAAATTATGCGTCAAAAAAGCAGTACATTTAATTTTTAAAGTATTTACAGTTTTTTAATTTTTTTTCTTTACATGTTTGTATGAAAATTTATTAACTAGCATATGTATATAAATTTAGGGATTATAATAAATGCAAAAAATCGTTGCTCATAATCTTAATCGTTGTAGAGTTATAGAATTGCGTACAGAAATTTTATTAAATCTAGATGAGTAGTACCTAGACGATAAGGAGTAATTTTTCAAAATTATGAAAAAGCAAAACAATACAGATAAGTTGTGCTCTTGATAACGATGTTATTCTATGGCGTTCAATATGTTTTTCTAAGTTTCAATACTTCTTTAAGAAGATTACAGTTTTGTTTATACTCATATCGTGATTGTTTTTCGGAAAACCCCTATACTTTGGAAGTAAAAATTTACTCAAACTATTCATTGAAAATGAACAAGTTACTCCAAGCTACCATTTTTAAAAGATTCAAATTTAGTTTCACCAATGTTAGCGCTAAATTTAAATTTTAAAAATTTATCAGAAAATTAAAATTTCTAAAATTATCGAATAAAATTTGTATTGTCTTCACAATCGGAAATTATTCTTTTTCAGCTGCAATATCATTTTTGATTTATAGCATTACTTAGATGGTAGAATCAAAAATTTAATCTCAAAATAACATTGTTATCTTCTTAGCATATTCACTTTTTGATTTTTCGTATTCTAGATACATATGTAAATAATAAAACATAAATAAATGTTTACGTCAATATTATAAACACTTATTTTTCAAAAAAAAAAAAAAACGCATTTTCAAGAAATGAGTATTTGTAACATAACCTAAGTATTTTTAATCACAACATAAGTCATATTTGTTTTGTGCTACTGAATTTTGTGATACTAAAATATTAATTTAATATTATGCAGTAGCAAATATGTATGTTTGTATACACATATTTTTAAACAGTATTAATGATTGCATATATATGTACATACATTGTACATATGTGTGTACATACACAAATTTAAGCTAGGTGAGAAATAAATTAGTGAAGACGAATAGTGAAATTGCATAATAGGCAACCAAGGACCAAGATGAAGCTATTTTTCGAATATATAGCGAACTGAATGAAGTATTTCGATTTAAACATTTTTTTATTTGTTTTTTATGTCAAATTTTTGATATACATACATATGTATGTATGTATAATTGCTTATAATATACAATATTACTCCAACTTGAGTATTAGAAATAATTTCCCAAAATTTATATTCATTAGAAATTAATTACTGTACAATATTAAATACATCAAAATTAAAGTAATTCATTATTAGTAAATAATTTAGCAACCTGAACCACAATTTTGACAAAAAATGACAAGTGTATGTATGTATATGTAAACTTCCGTCGCTCTTCAGTTTAGTGCCCCAAATTTGGTCTTTCGGAAATGTGTAAGTTTGCTTTGTCCATCAAAGATGCTTAGGTAAAAATAAAAATCTACATAACTCGAGAAATGCCCAAAAAACAAAATATCACTTAATGGTTTGTGTTCGTCTAGAAATATTCTATCACCCTGATGCTGAAGCACCATCGAGCCTCGTACGCTTGTATATGTATATGAATAGAACGTTGCGAATTCATGTTACTATTTTTTCTTGAAATTTCTTCAAGAAGAAATTGACAGAGAAGTTGAATTCTCCTTTATTATATTTTTATCAAGTTTAAATTTAAAAAAATTTAATTACATTTAGCTAAATTGGTGCTGAGTATGAATTTCAACGATATCCGTATATTTAAATACATATATGTACATAGCTTTTTCAAGGTATAAGATAAATTTTATTTAGATTTCTTGTATTTCTTGGAAATAATGTGCATGTACATACATATGTATACGATACATTTACGTACTTATACAGTTAATTTGTTTTTGTGCGATATCTTACAAACATACCTACATGTACGCAGGTATAATTGCAATTATATATGTATGTATGTAAACATCAGCGTTTATTGAATATGACTGCTTTGATTTCTGATTCAGAATGGATTAATAAGAAAATCCACAGTGAACGTAAATTTTAAATTTATTTGAGTATTAATATTATGTAATATGTATATTTAAATATGTTTCAATTAATTACAATATTTTTTAATAAAATTAATTTTTTCTATTTTTAATTCTGAAAATTTTAATAAAATTTAAATTAGGTTTCAACGTTTGTCTATTTGTTTTTGTTATTTTTGATCAAACATTTTGAATTTATATGTAATTTACTATGTATATTATATTTATCGTCAATTCTCTGAGGAGTCAATAAGCAAAAAAATAAATTGTAGTCTAACATACCGTTCTTAGTGTAATAATAAACAAATTGCATTTTTTCAAAATTAAAAATGCAATCTCAATTCGAAAGATAGTAAAATACATAGAAATACTCCATTTAAGGCGATCTCTTTTAATCAAAATTTTTAATTCAATTCGATATCGCAAATTTGTTCACTTACTATTTCAAATTTTTTTTAAATAGTAAGCATGTCTCATTTTTAAAGGTGAAATTATGTGAAATGAAAGTGCATGCTACATATTATACTTCCCGTCAAACGGGGTATTAATACACAAAGAGAATTGACCATACATTTTATTTTTCATTTTTTTTTTAATTATAATTTTGTTGATCTAAAGATTTATAAACACAATAATTCTTTAATAGTTTTGAAGTAATATGTATTAATGTATTTTTGTATATATATAAACTGTGGTACATCTTTTAATAAAACAAACCAACTACACTTGGTTGTAAAATTAATAAAATTATTAAATTCAAATATAATGATAATGGTATTATGATAATATGTTACATACATACGTATAATAATTTCATAATAACTTTTACATATAATACATATATATATGTATAATTAATCCAATCAGGTGTAGCAAAAGATACCACAGTTATATAAGTATGTATGCCATTTTTAAAGTTTTATATAAAATATCAATTTCATTTCTTTTGAAATATAGTATCTATTTACAATAACTAGATAAATATTTGATTAAACATTTTGTTATCTTTTGTAAATTTTTAGCTTAGGCATTTCTTAGTTTTTTTTTAGCAACCGAATTGAAAATGAGTTACGTATACTATAAATATGTACATGAAAGAAAATTAAGAAAATATGTATATTTAAGCGATATATATGCACAAACATATCTTTATACATATGTACATTTATATACATATATACATAGGTACATTTATATATATGTACATACATACGTATGTATATACATATGTATGAATGTGCATGCATATAATTATTTTTACATAAAACAGCTTATAGATCTTAATAAAATAAAAATAATTAATCATTCAAAAATCATTAAGTAATTTTATAAATGTTGATGAAATATTTCGATCATAATTATATTTTTATACAAATATTCGTTAACTTATTTTGTAAGTTTTTTAATTTATTTAATGTATCGTACAAACTTTTTATTTAGGCGCTTGAAGAAATTGTTTTAGAAATATATTATTAAACCATAAATTTATTACACATTTACTTTTTTATTTATTTCATTTACTTTTTTATACAAATTTGCAAGTATTTATAGATTTTTTAATTTTTACTTTTTAATATTTTTTATTTATTTAACACATTGAAATGCATGAATCACAAAACATATTAAGAAATTGGGGAAAACCTCTTTTTTCAATTTTTTATAATTTTTTTCTCTATTTTTATGACACGTGTATTTATGTATGTTATAATATCTTAAATGTTTTGAGGATATTTTTGAATAACTTACTTTTAAAATTTAAAAAAATAAAATTCAAAAATCAAGATAAAATATACCTAAATTAAATTACATAATATAAATGAACTGGATGATGCAATTTACTAATTGAAGAATAAAATAGTTATTAAGAATATACATATTTAGAAATTGATAACAACCAAACTTTTTGAGTTACTTACTGAGTGCGTTTAATTAAAGAAACAAAAAAAATTATTATTATAACTTTCGTATGTTAAGCTATTTATAAAAAAAAACATAATTTATAGATACATATGTTTGTATGTATTAAATTTCTTTTTATTTTACTTAGATCATAATATGTAGACGCGTTTGGAGATCATTGTCTCATCATCAAATACTGATATACATACAAATTTTGGTAATTAAAGAAAACTATTTGTACAAATAAAATAAAAAAGATTGCCAAAAAATTAATGAAAGGATGCAGAAAAAAAATTAACTACAATAATAAATTATGCACTTTTGTGTTGGTATTTAAAAAACATACACATGTGTGTATATACACAGTGTCTCCCAGTCAAAATGATGCAAGAAAAAAAATTTTGCTTTAGATAAAAAATGAATATAATATTTTGAAAATTATTACTTTTTATCATTGATTCTTAAAGTACAATTAATTTCTAGGAAAATAAAAAAAATATTTCATTACAAAAAAACTTAGAAAAAAAACAACAAAAAAAAATATTAATCTCACACTGGAAATGATGCAAACGGTACAATTTTATGTAAAAAAGAGATTCTACCGTTTTTGGAGCCATTTTTTTGTATTTACGTAAGATTTAATTGTAGTCGTTCATATTTAGTGTTTTAATGAGTTAGACGCTAACTTAAAATAAAGCAGATTAGGTATTTTACACAATGGAAGCACACTACTTTAGAAGAAAGAGAATTGGTATTGCATCATTTCAGAAATGGCAAGACCTAAAGTAAATTAAGTGAAATTATGAACAAACCACGCTTAACTATCTAGCATATCATCGAAAGATATGAAAAACAGATAGAGTGCTAAGTAAGCAAAAATGTAGCTCAAAAAGTCTTTAACGCTACAGATGAAAGGTTTATATCAAAGTATATCTACTAACAAGTAGTTCGACTCTCCGTTTACATCACACTAATGCAATCACTCACCAATATTTGTATACAAAAAATTCCCTTAGTTAAAAGAGTTAAGCAGTATACCTTGTTATTTTCATTTTTATACACATAAGAATTTTTGGGAGAGGGAAAGAGTACGCAATAGATGTCAACCTGTTTTTTTATAATGTATTTTGAAAGGCGACACTTTATTATTTGCTCGTATATAAAGTATAGGGAAAAATATTAAGAATTTTAAAAGCGACACAATAATTTCTGTAATTCATTCCAGTACAAGGTGGCAAAAAAGGTGTATTTATATTATAAAAGCGAAGCGGAAAAAAAGTGTTTAAAAAAAAATTATTATAATTTATATGAAAAATAATAAAAATAAATTTTAAAAAGACGTATAATATTAAAAAAAATTTTAAGGAGTTGTGAAAAAAAAATTTTTTTGTAATATTTTATTTGAAATGTTTGGGGTGTAATACTGTGTGTGAGGCGAAAAAGCCGACACGAAAATTTAATTTGTTGCCAAGAAATGTGGAGAGGTTTGTTCTTTTAAATTAATCGGTAATAACTATATTTCATAAAGTAATCAGTATACACCTTTTATTCTTTATAAATTACTTTATTTCTATGTCACCACCTTATACTGCGTATCTACTGTACCACGTACATGCATGTGTCGATTCCTACATGAAATTTCAAACTCTTTTGCTTTAATACATTCGAATTTTTTACCTAACTTTAAAAAATGAAAAATAAATTTTGTCATTATCAAAACAAAATTTTTACCTAACTTAATATAATTTTATTTCAGTTCAATGTTTTTCATACACTCGTTTGTTTTCATACACTCGTTTTTGTTTCTTTCTTGCCTACACAACTCTTATTACCATCTATTTCTAAAAAAAAAAATGGAATATTTTAAGAATTTGGAAGCAAGATGCAAATGAAAACTAACGGGATGGAACGAGTCGAATTACTTATTAGTAGATATACTTTGGTTTATATTAAAGAAAGTTCGATAAAACCCGAAGTTAAGTGCACCAAAAATAGCAGCTGGGGCGGAAATATACTTAGGCAAACAATGCGAAGCTAAAACAGTAAGAAAGGTCCTAAGGCGTAATGATTTTCACGGCAGAATAGCAAGAAATGTTTTGAAATCAAAATATACAATCAAGATTGCAATTGGCTAGAGTACACATTAACAAAGATTTTGAGAACTGTGTGGAGAAAACATAATCAGGCCGTAAAAACGTCTAACATTAACAGAACAGTTAAACATGGTGGTGGTCATATTTGCGAATGGGGTTATATGTTATCTGTCGGTGACGGGAACCTAAAATTTATCGAAGGTAAAATTGATGCATCAATGTATTTAAACATTTTAAAAGAAAATCTTGCAAGCAGTGCAAAAAAATTGGGAATCGGTAGTACTATCAGGAGAACGATCCCACGCACACTGTACATAACGTAAAGTCATGGCTATTGTATGATTGCGCACATGTCATGAAAACCCCTTCGCCGTCTCCTGACCTTAATGTTATTGAAAATTTGTGGAGTGTGTTAGAAAAAGAAGTTCGCAAGCACAAAATTTCAAATGAAAATGATCTAAATGATAAATAATAAATGATACAGGAAGAGTGAAAAGATATTGAACCATCTTACACCACCAACCTCATTAAATCTATGCCAAAGAGAAAATAACAAATAAAATAAAATAATATTGTCTTAGAAAATAAAGAAGATTACTAATTTAGGATTTAATCATTTGCAATAAGAATCTATACTTTGTAGTTTCAAATGAAAATACTTTGCATCATTTTCACTGTTAGATAAGTTATTGACATTTTTTTTGTTTTGTTATTATTTTTGTTATAGCTCTTAGAATGAAATAAGTTTTTTTATTTTGTTGAAAATTGAATGTAATTTAAGAATAAATATTAAAAGATAATAATTTTAAAACCATTTTGTTTAATTTTTATTTAAACCAAAATTTTTTTTCTTGCATCATTTTGACTGTGATTTAGATTTTAGCTTATATATGTACATATGTATGTATGTATTTCGCTTAAGAAACCTTATAACTTATTTTAATGTGAACTTGATCACTTTTTAAAACTAAAATACGGGTTTTTAAAACTAAAATATACACATATGTATGTGTATTGTTGAAAATATATATGCATATGTATGTTGTTTAAGATTACGCAAAAATACTTATAAAAATATTTGCAAACACTCGTTTGAATTTTTGCAAAAACGCAAAATGTAATTCTTCGAAATAAAAACACGAAATTTGAATGATATAAGATTATAAACTATAGCAAGAAATGTGCATTGAAATGTTAGCAATCTCGGAACTGACCTGTATGTTCTAAAAATTCGGAAATAACAAAGCTCACAAACATTTTAGTTGTTTTCAAGTTCGCAAAGTATTTAATTTTTAATTAAGAATGTCAATTTAATATAGAAATCTAGCTATATTATATAAAACCACCCAGCATAAATGTAATTCTTCACTTGTTGGTATATATATCTATTTCAATTGGGGAAGACGTTTGGAAAAATTGAGTATCAATAAATTAGATGAATATTGTTTTCAAACTTAGACTATTAATGTAATAAAAAATAAAAATAGAAAACATAGACATATTAAAAAAAATTAAGAAAAATTAATAGTTTTTTTAATCTTAATTAGATGATGAAAAGTAAATTAAAATATACATTAAAGACCTATACAATAATAAATGAATGTCTTTGAAACATTCTCGTATAATAACTACTTTACCAAATATAATAGAGAACACTACCTTTTTACACATTTTTTAAATTGACTTTATAAAAGTTTTTGAAAAAAAAAAAGATACAAATTATTTAGCTAAAAATATTAGCTTGATCATATGTCTTCGTGAAATATCATTCACTATAAAATTATATTGTCCAAACTTGAACCTTTTCCGCAACAACGCACCAACTTGCTCTTTCATAATAAGATGAAACGATATGTAAACTCGTAACGTGATGATTTATTAATGCGTCTAGTTCACCTTCTCTAAACACATGATAGTAACGGTGATGCGTCGTTGAACCACCACTTTGAGAAGGGCTATCTAATGAATTTGAACTATTTGTCAAGGCCCAAGATTCACGCCCACTTACAACGCCCTCAGTATTGTTGTGACCATTCGCATCTGCGATGCATTCGTCCACTGCTCCATCAGTATCTTTATTACATATCGTTGGATCATTCTTTTCCATTCTTGCATCATTTTCAGGTGTTCCTAAATCTTCCAGTGGAGAATCTGAAGAATCCTGACAACGTATCGTATTACGATTAGTTTTCTTAGAGTAACCGTTCTCATCTTCATCTTCATAGGCATTCTCATCTCGATCATACTCATCTTCATCTTCTTCGGGGATGACATTATTGTTGTCCATATCTTCATAGGGGTCATCGTCGTCGCGCGATAAACTATCACCATCACCGTCTTGTATTAAATATGCAGTTTCTGGATAAATACTATAATTTCTGTAATCAATATAGCTGCTACCCGCTGTTGAATTTCTTTTATACTTTAAATTCTTACTACGATTTTCGTAGAGGTTACCGATTGGTGCTGTTGATGACGAATAGCCAGTGCTGGAATCCGCTGCTTCAATATCTTCATCTTCTTCATGAATTGTATAACTACGAGCTGTTTGAGACGATAAAGATGAAGTAGATGAAGATATTGGGGATTGTCGTTGACTTGTTTGAGTTGACAAATTTGCTAAATTTAATCTTCGCTCTCTTAACTCTTCCCGCCAATCAGCCAGATCTCGAGCTTCGTTACCACTATGACGAAACGAGGACCTTGAAGTGTAAGGTACATCATCAAGGAATTCATCTAAATATCCACTGCTGTATGTTCCGGAATCACCGTCAGGTTGAGGTGGTGAATCGTCTAATCTTTTATTTTTGTTTGCATCGGCATCTAAACGTTTTAATAATTGAGCACTTAATTGTTCAGCAAAATCAATAAGTTCTTGACGCGATGTAGTCGCTACTTTGTTGTATGTAGTTGATGTGTCATTTAAATTTGTAAAACTATTACTTGTAACATTTTTAATGTCTAAGGTATTTATCATCAGGCTATCTTTATTGTTTGAATATTTTGATAAAAGTTCTTGATTTGCTTTGATCAATTCATTACTTCTGTTTATACTACAAAATTTGCTAATGCAACTAGGAAGACCACCTGTTTTTTTAACATCGTCTGTACTACCCGTTTGATTTAAAGAATTTAAAGAAGTTGCACCTATTGTTGTACTTGACGATGAATTAGGTAAGTCTAATGAATGGTATTTTTTAGTATGCTGTAATTTGACCCGTTGTGTATCGGCATTTACTGCGAATGAAGCCTCCGTAAGTAAAGGGGTTTCAGGTTTCCTTGTAGTACCACCTGACGCGGATGATTTATTAACAGTATCTGTGCCAGAATCGCCTGAAGATAAACCTGATGTAGGTCTAACATCAATAACACTGTCAATTGAATCTGGCGATGACGCTTCACTTGAATCACTATCGAGATCATCTGTAGCTGGATTGAATATTTCTAAGGATTGTAATTTCGCTATTGCAGGAGATGCTGACGATCGTCTTATTATAGGATAACTCGTTTTGACAATTGGTAAAGAATGATTTTTCCGAAATTTTGGAATTGGGGGCAAATCTTTTATTGATTGCCGTGTTATTTTAGGTAGTAATTTTTTTTTAATTGCTCCTGCACTAATAGGGGATATCTCCTCAATTATTTCCACTTTTCTCACCTCTGAATTTTCTTCTGACTTGACAAACTCTGGAGCTATCGAAATTGTGGTTGCACCAGTTTCATCATTTGACCCATTAATTTGTTTTGTCCCAGAATTTAAACTTTGCTGCGCCAAAATATGTTCTTCGTCAAATGTAAATCTATTGGATCCCTGTATTTTTTCAAAATTATTTGTAATAATTGAAGAATTATAGATTTCATCATCATTATTTATAAAATTGGCTTGCATATTTAAATTTGGAGGCGATAATAACATTCCACTTACTAATTGTAAAGGAGGTGATGTTATAACTGAACCTAAATTCCCACTGTAATTATTAGAATTTAAAGCTGCAGGTGAATGAGCTGGAGTTGGAGGACATGGCATTATAAGTGGAGATGTTGGCACTGATGGGACAATATTGCCACCATTCATGTAATTCCGTCCTGAATAACAATTACATGTCGTTGATGCTCCGTTCCCATTATGTTGATGGCATTTATAATGTTGTTGCAGAGAATGCAGCGGCTGCTGGTTTTCTTGTTTGGGTATAAATATAACTGAAGCAAAACTATCTTCAGATTCAATACTAGTATCAGATTGTAGGCTACTATCTTTTGACGAATCTGAGCCACTTTCTCTTGAATGGCGCCTTGGTTTACTATTTTGGTCATCGTTACTATTACTACTATTGCTACTGCCACCACTGCCTGAACCTCCACTTCCATTATTGCAATTAGGGCATGCGCCACTGGAAGTATTATGACTACCAGCCGTAATACAATGCTGCATAGCCAATTTTCCACTCAATAAACTATTCTGGCAACTATTTTTTCTTGATATGCCTCCATATTTCGAACGCGATAGATTATTCGCCGAATTTGAAGTTGAATCACTTTTATTAAACGTGTTTACATCAGTACTTGATGAAGTTGACGATCCAAATTGACTAGCAGCTTGAAAATTTTTCATTATCTTAACTAAACTATTTTTCGTTACGCGTTCTAAACTACCAGTCGAAGTTTTCAATTTAGTAGTAAAACCTTCTCTAATAATTTGTAGGCGTTTTGTAAATACAGACCTACATAAAAATGCTTCATTTAAAGACATCTGTTTTTGTATACGCTTGCGTACACGCTCCTTTTCACGTAAACGATTTTCTGCCATTAATTCTTCGTTAAGAGAACTCTGTTTTCTTAAAAGTAGTCTAGAATCGGAAAATTGTTTTTGAAATAATTTTGTTTGTAAGTTCACGTGACCACTTCCGCTGGCACCTAAGTTGCTATTTTTATTCGCATTTAAATTGTTTAATAAATTACTACTGCTACCATTATTGAAACTATTCAAACAATTATCATTATTATTATTATTATTATTATTATTATTATTATTATTATTATTTTTATTATTATTGTTATTATTATTACTATTATTATTTTCCTTATTAATAATATTATTATTTTTATTACTATTGTTATTATTATTATTATTATTAGTATTATTATTATTTAACATATGAAATGGATTATCTGGCAGTTGAAAATCATCATCACATAGCGATTGTTTTTGTTTTATCAATTTAGGCCTTCTACTCATTGTGGGTGTACCAGTGGATGATGATGGTCCACCGCTATTTATACAACTGTTCCCACTTGCACTGGTACTACCAACTAAAACTTTTGTTGGTGAAACATTATTCGATTGTTGTTGTTTTATGTTGTTTTCGCCAGAAGTACTTGATAAAATCCCAATGTTACTTGCATTTGGTTTAGTACCTAAATGTGACTGTGATGATGTTATAGACAAAATATGGTTGTTATTATAACCTAATAGTTGCTGCTTTTGATCTGGGAAAACAAATTGTTGTGATGCTACAGTTCCACCCAAGCTTGGTACACTTGATCTAGAACGGACTATTTGCCTTGGTGGTGGGTTTAAAATACTGCCCAGACTGCGTGATTTTAAACCTGCTGAAAGTGGGGGATCAGGAAGGTCTTCAAAATCTTCTAGACGCCGTAATTCAATTGGTAAATCTTTAGCATCCTCATAGTCAAGACTACTATCGTTTTTAGTTTCTTTTGAAGTCCATGAATCTAAAAACCATTGGTGTCTTTTACGTCCCCCAGCCAGTTTCTGTAATAGGTTATAAAAAAACAGGTTTGAAAATATTGTTAAGGCGATTTGTATAATTTATTTACCTGAATAGCCCTTCTCACAAAACTGTAACATGATTCACCTGGTGACGATGAAGATAAGCTTGAACTATCACCATCACCGGCTGATCGACTTGAATTTGTAGAATCCTCCATATAGGCATGGTAAGGCGGCAAAAACTCGTCTTCATCCTCTTCGTCTGAATAATTTGTGGTTCGACTTTTTGGTGGTTGCCATGGTATTAAAACATCTTGTGACTCAAAACGCCGATGCCGTTGCTCTAACGCCCAAACGCTTATAATAACTCGCCCACCAATTCTTAGTATTCGAGCTAATTCACGTATTGCACCTACGCGACGTTCGGTTGTGGCAAAATGATGAACTACTGCCAATGATAAAACAGCATCAAATGATTCGTCTCGAAATGGTAATTCTAAATTATCACATAGAGCTACCTAAAAAAGTAAAAGTTAACATTTTAGGAAATTTAAGCTTTGGTACAAATTTAGAATTTTGAGAGTTTTTATTTGGTAAGGGCAAACATATTTTGAAAACACTAAAAACGTTAAAAAAAATGTCTTTGAAATATGGTGCACTTTTTTCTTTTCCGTTTAAAATTACTCAGACAAAAACAATTTTTTTTTAATTGTTTAATAATTAGTTCTGTAACAAAGTTTCGAAGGCAAACAAATTTTTTTTGGCATCATGCAAGCTCATAGAAGTTTTAGAAGTTTTTTTTTGAATATATGGTACAATTGTAAATACATACATTAAAATTTACTACTGATTCATGGCTGTTTATAATTTTTTAAATGTTATGTGCAAACTAATTTTAATTTAATTTAAATGTTGCTGATACCTTTTTCAATACTGGTACCAGTACTGATACTCTTTTTGAATAAAAAATCAATATTTTAAGGAGCTGTTAAAAGTATTTTGTCATTTATTTTGAGTAAATGTTAATTAACAACAATTTCCTAACTATAAAACTTAAAAACAGTATAGGAATTTTTTTTCTTCTACATTCCTGAATAATAAAGAGATTTTTTTCGCTACAAAGGTAAAGGTAATTTAAGCAGCAGCCGCGCAATCTAAATATAGAAAAAACTAAATAAAAGCAAGAGTAAAAAATAATAGACAAAGTATAAAATATACTTGTGAAAAGCCATGTTTTACACTGAAATACCAATTAACCTACCATTGATAATACCGAAAAAGAAAAATAAATTATAATACTTATAAAATAATACTTGTAATTGTTACTGGAATAATAAAAATTATGTTATTAATGAGGATTAATTAAAAAAATCTGATGTGATCAGAACATAGCCGACTGCAATGTTATTATCTAGACCAATAAAAGTATTCCAGAAGATTATGAAAATGCGTTTTAAACACTTCTCTACAATTTTAAGGACAGCTTTTAGTTAACATACCTAGAAAAATGTGAATTTGGTTCTTAGTAGAGTTTCATTTTGTGCCGTTCGAATTATACGAAATGTTCGTCAGTGACTTCTGGTAACAACCAGAACTCAAATATCAAATTTCAAGAAATTCCATCAATTCGTTCCGTAGATATGATAAAAAATGGAAAATCGGCCTCGGGGTCGGTTACGCACAGTTGCTGACACCTGATTTCTTCTAAAAGGAGGATTCGCGGCCGGTCGAGCGAAACTTATACATGAAATTTCAAGTAAATCTGTTAAATATTTTCTTCAAAATGATCAAAAATGCAAAACTGGTCCGTTAAAAGGTCCAGTTTCCGAGGCCTAATATATACAAAAAGTTGATGAATCTGTGCCATAGTCGAAATAAACTTACTTATAAAATTTCATCAAAATCGGTTCAGCCGAACTTAAGATACACGTGTAGACACAGACCGACAGACCGATAGGTGGCTAAAAACAGTTTATTTACACTTCCCTACCATGGAGAAGTGCGTTCACAATGAAAACTCGATATGCAAAATTTGTTGCCATCACATAACCTACCTTCTTGTATACACAGTGCCGTCAGTAAAAAGCTAAAATTAAGTAAGTTTTAGAATTATAACCCCTTCAATGGTTTAGCTAGGTTGAGTTAACTTTCAAAGTATAAGTACAAACAGTTATTCCTTTTTACGCATAAATATAATATATTAAATAACATTTACCTCGCCACCTTTTCCTCTGGCAGCTTTGGCTAACCGGAAGCACCGATCAACTCCAATAGTACATATATATGGATTACATGCAGTTAAATAACGACCATTACCGCATCCAACATCACAGACAATTGAGCCAGGTTCTAAACCAGATAAAAACTGTGCGACTTTTGGCCTAATCGGGCCGGTTGGTTCTTCGCAATTTTCATAAACATCATGAACGTAAGCACGTTCCAGAGCCGCTGATCTACCAGAAGCTTCATTATTATTACTGTTATTATTATTACTATTATTAATGTTTATGTTACCGTTGTTATTATTTTTGTTAATAATACTATTGTTACTATTACAATTCTTATCTTGATTTTGAGAAGTGTTATTTATTGCATGTGACAGTTCGGATGTTAAAAAGACATTATTTATATTTGATGATAAATTTGTTGTCGTAATTGTTGTATTATTTTGTTGCATTGATTGTAATATATTAATTCTACCACTTGTTGTTGCATTGTTCATAAATTCGTGATGTTCTAGTTTTTGTTGATTATTGTTTGACTGCTGCTGGGGGAGTGATAACAAAAATGGGTACTGTGTTGTTAGCATTGTAGTTGGTGATGTTTTGATATTGCTTACTTTACTTACTACATGTTTTTCATTTTCTCTTACTAATAACTCTTTTTGTTCCCTGTCAGTAATAGTTGGTCTAGTGTCATTACTATAACTTTTTTCGGCAAAAGTTTTTTTATCTATATTTTCTATACAACGGTATTTACTATTCAAAACTCCTATTTTAAATGTTTGCAAATTTTTTGTTCTTGTTATAGCCGAAAAATTTGTTAATGCCTGATGTGATATATAAGAATTTTCAAGCGATTTTTCTTGATCTAAACTAAGGTTTTTATTTGTGAAAATTTTCGTTTCAATAGAACTATTTCCATTATCCACTGTAACTGCTGAATTAGCAGTTTTTGTTGATATTATTGAAATTGCTGTCGGTAAATCCCTTAATTCTGTTTTGGTGCATGTTTTATTTTCCTTTTGAATATGGGCTGCAGAAGGTATCACCGTAATTGATAAATTATTTTGAAATTTTGAATTTTTCTTAGGTTGTGATATTCCTGTATTTTCTTTTTCGTACTGTAGCTCTTTATCAATATTTTCATCTGAAAAATTAAGTTTTAATAGCACAAGAAAAAAGAAAATATTATTTGTATCATTTTCGCTCTGTTAAAAAGCTTAATAACTTTTGTTAATTAAACTCATTATTTTGTTAATTAAACTCATATAAACACGATTTTGCGACAAAAAAATACAATATGTAATATTAAATGGATATATATAATTCGATTCTACGATCCAAAACACATATATTTGCAGATAAATTAGTTTTGAGTAAAATAGAAAACGGCGTTTTCTAAAATAGAAATTTTTAGATTTCTAAAAAATGTCAGTAAATAAAATATAAAATACTAACGAGAAAAAATAGAGTTGACCTTGTCGACTCTATGATACCCGTACGAATTTGTTATTCTATGTGCGAATGAAGGTGCCATAACTGACTATGGGACAGACTATGAGTTTAAGTTGCCGTATTACCATATTAATTTATGCAAAATTTCAGTACTATGTGTTTTTCAAAATACTGTGTGTGCCAAACTACTATTGAAGTTGTATAGCAACTACCAGAAAGAGACAAGAAATTTTAACGAATTTTATCAAGCACATCGGCCCTACTAATATATTTGCTTGTTTGAAATTTCAATACCACAGCTTTTATAGTTTCTGAGATATAGCCAAAAAACTTTTGAAGTTGTATGGCAGGTACCAGAAGGAGCCACGTAAATTTAAAGGAGCCACATTTGAAACGGTAGACTAAAGATCAATTAAATTCCGAAGTGGGAGGTTTTATCAAATTGATACAGGAGTCGCTTGGAAACATGCTAAATTTTTTAAACTCCATATTTAATAATTGTCTTAAGCTAGAACAGATTGATACAAAAAAGAAAGACGAAACGTTAATGACAAGAGTCACCTCACCCATGCATTAAAACATCTGTAAATAAACTTTCTGAAGCACTCAAAAGAAAAATTTATAAACATATGAACTTTACATAGGGAGTTTACCATCAACCAAAAAAAAAATTATTCGTTGAGAAAAGCAACGAAAAGTACTAACAACCCAATAAAGCGAATCCTCATAAAAAAACAGATGGACAAAAGATGATTACGAGGTAATTGTTACAATTTATTTACCCTTCTTACGACAAAAGACGGTTTCGGAGAACCATTTACGCCAAAAAAAATTTGAATAAAGCTACAGGTTCTAATCTCATTACTGCTGTGATAGTAAGAGAGTGTGCCTCAAGGATATATGCTGAATCCTATATTACACGTACTTTATACAAATGATTTGCCAGCTACTTTGCCAACGATACAGCAATATTAGGAGCAGGACCTATTGTTGAAGAACTGGAAATAAAATTACAAGAAGCAAGTAATAAGTAAATGAACTGTGCGTGTGAATTTCACAATCAAAATTTTCGTAAACCCACTAAATTTCAATTTGAATATCGCTAAAATATTCAATATACAGCAAAATACCCGGGAATGGCTTTGGATGCCAAAAAGAAAAGAATAGAATTAGAAAGCAAATTTATAGAACACTACTGGCTTTGCTACCGTTGGGCTAAATTGGTTACAAACAACAAAGTGTTGATATATAACCAAATAATAAAGCTATAATGGTATACAGCTTTTGGGTTGAACCTCAATTTAGTTTTTAAAATTATAATTTGGAGATTATTAAAATTTTAACAGTTTATATGAATTCGTAAGTGGTATATGTACATATTTCATCGCAATTAAATTTTTTTCTCTCCCTCCCCTTATTATTAACCATCAGTAATGATTAAATGATGTTTATCAGTAAGCCATAAGGACTTCTTGTTTCATAATAGTTTCATAAATATGTGTTAACGTAACCGATAAATTGCTGTAATTTATACTGGATGGTATAAATTACTGGTGTTAAAGCTCTAGTTAAAAATTGTTCGTTTGAGGAGGAGCAACTCAAAAGTCTGAGGTTATTTTTTAGAGGATTAAAAAAAATCTGTTAAAAATTCTGTTTATAATCTACTAAAATAAACAAACGAAACACATTTACCGTTTTCGAGGAATGCTGCATATAGCTAAAATTTCAAGTTAGAAAACTGAAAAGTTTTCAAAAAACGTTAATTACTTATCTCAAAAAAGTATACTTTTTTTCATGACGCTATATCATACCTCCTCAATTTTATCGTACATAATTTTCACATACACTTTCCGTTACATAAAAATAATAATGAAAACGGTATAATTTATTGCACCATGTACTCGTAATACACCATTATGGTCGTTTCTCTATAAATTGTAAATTAATAAAAAATAAACCTTAACAACTAAATGAAAAATGAGCTTTTGGAAAATGCTCTTAAAGACAGTATTCAACTCCACATACTTATCAGAATATTCATATGTTATACTTTCAGAAAATTATATATGCTTAATAATTAAGTCAAACTTTAACACCTGATTATTTTTATTTTAAGTTTCTGTTTAATAATAATAGATAAACTAGAATATTATCGATAAACTAGAATTGTAACTTTTATTCGCGAGTAAAAAAATACTTTAAAATAAATGGGAAAAGAAAAATCCTGGCCTGTCTTGTCTCCCGAACAGTCTTATGAATAATTATATACATATACGCCAATACCACACGTAAAGGTAATAAAAAAATTATATTATATAAAGAAAATAAAGATGTGAACAGCCAGCAAGGACTGAGATAGATTGCGTCGTTTTTTTTTCATTATCTTTTCAAAATATTTATTGCGTCCATCAGATCAACATTGCATATTTTATTTTTCATATAAAACACAAAATTTATATCTTCAATATTAATTATTTACCTTCAATAATGTACTGAAATTTATCTTCAAATGTAGCTGCCGAATGCGGCACTGTATCTTCGGATAGCATGTAAATCTTAAATACAATTTTTTTTCAATATATAATTTTATTTCCCTATGTAATATCTTTATTTGTCTATATTCTTATTAATTTATTTTTAAACCTAAAATATATTCATGGTCATTATAATTATTTTATTATATTAACATTATTATAATTAAGATATTATTAAGTGTTTTTATACTTCTTTTTAATACGAAACAAAAAAAATATATTTTTTCTTTATCAAAAACATTTATTAATTTTGAACACACTTATCTTTAATAGAATGTATATATTTGTATAAACATACTATTTTGTATTTATATAATTAGATGTCACATTATGCAGTATGTAGATACATGTAATTCACATTATTTTCCAGAAAATTTGTTAACTCAATTAACATACATATTATTTTGCATTTTTTTCCAATATATGAGAATATCTACCAATATTTATTAAAAAAAATCAAAAAAACTTAAGCAAATGTTAATGAGAAAGTATAATAGCATTTACATTTAATTTGATTATGGATTAATAACGTTATATTCAAAAATAAATTTTTTTTTCAATCTAGTTTCTAATTAAAATACAAAAATCATCAAGGACTTTAATGTCGTAAATTATTAAAATTAAATCAATTTTTCTTTAAAATTAGTTAAAAACATATTAGTATAGTTACTGTAGATTAATTATAATAAATTACAATACATTATTTCTTTATTTTTATGCATTTTTAATAAAATTCAATTTAAATTTGAAATGTGTTTACAATTGCCCAATAATAACAATTATAAAAAAAATTATGTGTATTTTTTGGTACTTTACTCCTTTTTATTTTACTGTTAAACATTTTTTATGGTTCTATCTATTTTTAGGTACAAAATGGCGTTTTTTTATACACATGCGCAAACTCCTTCTTTTTATATTAATATATACATCCTTTTCAACATACAAGTAATATTTATTTTATGTATATAAAATTGTGCATCTTAAATTTGAGAGAAATTAACAAAATTTTCAAAAAATTTTGTATGGCTATTTTATGATTGTTTTATGCCTTTATAATTTTTAGATTTATCTGTATTTAATTCTTAGTTGTTTTTTTTAATTAAGTGCTTTTATTGAAATTATTTAATACAAAGAAACAAATAAGAAAATTTTAATTCCAGCTCTCAATAAATATGTATGTAAGTATGTGTATTTAAAAAAAGGGAAAATTTAAAAAAAAAGAAAAATCTTGAGTTGGGACCGCTGTTCCTTAACCGTTTAAAGAGTATTTTATCCGTTTTTTTTGTAACGTTAACAGTAGTCAACCACTCAAGACAAACTGAGGGCTTTTATATGCAATATTTAGTAGAAAAAAACGCTTTTCTCATGTACAAATTATTGTTTTTGTTGTCAATGCATGTGCAGGCGCGAATTAGTTCCGTGAAAGCTTTATTTGGGATAATCACTATAGCTATATTGAATAACATCTTGTACAATATGTATGTGTCCTAAAATTTAATTATAATTCTTGAAAAAACAATTGTTATACTTTTTGCCCTAATTAAAATAAGTAGTTAAGTTCGCATTAGTAAAGAAAATATCTAAGCTATTCAAAATTAATTATAATTTTATTTAATATATTGCTGCACACTTAAATTTGTATGCACATTGCACTTTGATAATTTTATTTTTGATTTATAATGGATGTTCTTTTGAAGCTCATGCCAAAAATAATATTTTTAGAACATTTTATAATACAATTTTTATTAAGTTATCGTTTTGCCAATTAACCAGTAATTGAAAACAGTAAAAATTGTCATTTTTACTATGAAACAACATAAATAGTTTTTCTTGACCTTATAAAAATTTGATGAAAGAAACATTTTATTTATTTTTTTTTTTAAATATAAAAAAATCTAAAATCGTAGTAATAACCCCAAACTTTGTATTAAATATGTATGTACATAATTAAATTAAATAATGTTCCAACAATCATTGTTATTCTATGTATATATAGAAAATTTATTGAGGTTTTCAAAATTAGTTTATTTCCATAGACCCAATTTTTCTATAATAAGATATCCTTTTCTAATTTAATTGCTTAAAATATAATTAAATGATAGAAAATTTAAGAAATCAGCATATAACATGCATATTATTTTAATATTGTGATTACATTGATATGCACATATATTTACATAACCGAATACACAACACATTTAAGTTGTAATGTAGTGTACATAAAAAATTACTATACCACGTAGTTGACTTGCGCTACAAAAATTTTTAGTTGTATATAATAGGTACCATTTATACTGTTTTTAGCACTTTTCTAACAAAAATTTTTGAAAAAAGTGCATATTAGTTTCACTCTATCTGTCCATCCGTGAAGATATTTACAAAACTTATACACTCTTGAAGAAAGAAACCTAAAAAGAAATTACCGTAAAACCTAAAAAGAAATTACCACTAAAACCCTAAAAATGCCATTTTTTAACTATTTCACTGCAAAGAGAAACCTAAGCATTTTGCAAAGTGAAATATAGTGACTGCTTTCTTCTACCACGGCATGCTATATTTGAACTTTAAAAAGACAAAATGGTCATTATCCAAAATCCATGTTTTCTAAATTTTTGATGCCATTTTTCCTTTAGATCCTGGGTCTGAAAGAAAAACGACATCAGTGAAAGTCTGAAACTTTAACAACTTTTAGACTCTAATAACTAGTTCATTTCGTTAGAAGAAAGTTTTTACACACCTCCATCCCCTATCAAGTTATCGCCTCGCGAAATTTGAAAAATTTGAATTATTGTCATGTGTAATTTCCGAAACCGTAAGCATTTTCAAATTTCTATAAACGCAGAAAGCTAACAGTAAATTCCATGCCATTAAAAAATATAATTATTTTAATTTTAAATCGAACATTATGCTAAAACCTCTTTAAATTTATTTTTGTGTTATTTCAAAGACTGCATAAATCATTCATCAATGAATTAAAAAAATACAATAAATTAGAAAAGAATACAGAATGGCTCGTATCGGTAAGACAATTGTCTCGCAACTTTTGCAATTATTGTTAATTAATACGTATATCACACGATCAGCTCTACCTATTCTCTTTAAAATATTAAGGCACTTTTTCTTGCATTATTTTGCTATCAAGAATAAAGAAAACAAGTAACTTTTATTAAGAGGGCTTTATAAGAAAGCTTCTTTTAAAATTCTTAATTTCGCTTTTTTATTGAATGGGTTATTTAGATATAAGGCTTTTTCATAGTTCATTATTGAGTATTTTATGAATGAAAAGCGTTTTATGATTTAATGCATCTAAACATATACCTGGGTGACACGAGGAAATAATTTCATATAATTTATGCGTTAATATTTTATACAAATCGGCTACGAAAGAGGTATGTGTATGTTATATAAAATGTCTGAAATGGATTATACAACAAACGTCTTATGTAACTTTCTAATAATGTTTGGCTTATACGAACCAAAACTGTTACTTTTTAAAAGTTTACATGAGCTTGACGGCATGAAATTTTGGTAGTTTCGTTCATGGTGTTAAGGACTTTATATCATATAGTCTCTATATCATGGTTTCGTTTTTTGTCTTCTGAAAGTCAGAATTCTTTAAATATGTACGTATATATAAAAAATTAAAAATTTTTATACTTAATGTATAAAAGCTTCTTGCAAGAAGCTTTAATACTTTAAGTATAAAAATTTTTTACTACGAATGACGAAAGTTCATTGAAAAAATATAACTACATATATAAATTTGTAATAGGCGTTATAATGAAGTATACATATAATAAAAGTGTTCATATATGCAATTATGTATACATGTACATATATATATAAAATATATGTGTAAAAATGTAATGATGACGGCTTCTTATGACAAAGGGTTTAAGAATGTAAAGGAAATTAAGGAAAGTTATGATTAAAATTCAAGGTTAAAAAAATTGCTTCTTTTCACTTTCCAATTAACAATATGTTGAAAAATTTGAACACAGACCATAATTAAAGGTTTTTTACTATAAAACTTAAATTATATCACGGTTAAAAATAGAAGAATTTATATTTTTTACAGAGTCATAAAAACTCTTCGTGTCCTTTTTGTATTTTTAACTTTTTTTAACGAAATTTTGTAAAAGTAAAGAAAATACCTTAAATCAAATAAAACATTATATCTGCCTATACATATGTACGCTGTATAATATCTGCTTATACACATGGTGTTTCGCATAAGGTAGTAAATAATTTCAGATATGGTTCATTGACCAAAATGTATGAAATTTGGATTTTTCGCATGTTGTTTAAACACATTTAACACGTTTTACTGGCAGATCTATGAGAGATAGAGAAAAATGTTATTGTGGCGCATCCAGTGCTCGAAGTGAGGCGGGATGGAATGGGATGCTATCCCAGTACTTTTAAATAATTGGAAATCCATCCCACTACTTAATGGGAGAGAAAAATGCGTTCCGGAACATGTTTTTTAAAATTTAAGAAAATTTTCTAATGAATTTTAAAAATTTTTTTAACAAAAAATTAAATATATGTAATTTTAAATAAGACCAATTTCAAATAGTAACGTATAATTTTTTTCTATTAATGAAATTTTCGTTACTACATAGTAGTCTATGCATTTCTTTGGTAACAATTTGCACAGTTTTTGATTCAATTTTTAGTTGATTTAATTTTGAATATAAATATTCTCGTTAGTTTACTTCCAAAGTTTGGTTAATTTTGTTTAGTTATTTTTTTAAAAAATAACTAAAATAATACTTTTTTTTTATTTTTTTTTTTTTTACCATCCCACCACTTTGAGTATCCCACTTCGACCACTGGGTGCATCGAAAAAACTAAGAAAAATAATAAAACAAATTTCCGAGAAATTTCGAGATTTTTAATCGAGTCCGAGATTTTTAACCGAGTTTTAATTTCGAGTCCTTCCAAACCGAAGGAAAAACAGAAGACACCAACGATATGTTATATAATGAAGTAAGAGGACCAACAAGGCTACCAGCACACCTACACAACATCACACCCGGAATCCAACCAGGACCAGAAGACCAATCAAGCACTCCATGG